ACCTGGGTGGACGGATGGAGACCTGGGTGGACGGATGGAGACCTGGGTGGACGGATGGAGACCTGGGTGGACGGATGGAGACCTGGGTGGACGGATGGAGACCTGGGTGGACGGATGGAGACCTGGGTGGACGGATGGAGACATGGATGTATGGAGATATTCATGGATGGATGGAAACATGGATGGATGGAGGGATGGGGACATGGATGGATGGGCGGATGCATGGATGGATGGACGGAGACGTGGATGGATGGACGGAGACGTGGATGGACGGAGACGTGGATGGACGGAGACGTGGATGGACGGAGACGTGGATGGATGGAGACGATGGATGGATGGGGACGATGGATGGATGGACGGAGACATGGATGTATGGAGATATTCATGGATGGATGGAGACATGGAGAGATGGGGACATGGATGGAGGGATGGGGACTTGGATGGATGGAGATATTCCTGGATGGAAGGACGGAGACATGGATGGAAGGAGATATTCATGGATGGACAGACACATGGATGGACGGAGACATGGATGGATGGGGACGATGGATGGATGGAAATATTCATGGATTGATGGACACATGGATAGGAGATATTCATGGATAGATGGCGATATTCATGGATGGAGGGATGTGGACATGGAAGGAGGGAGACATGGATGGATGGACGAAGACATGGATGGAGGGATGAGGACATGGATGGATGGGTGGAGACATGGATGGATGGGGATGATGGATGGAGAAATTCATGGATGGATGGATTCACGGACAAATGGATGGAAGGAGATATTAATGGATGGCTATTCATGGATGGATAGAGATATTCATGGATGGAGGAATGGAGACAAGGATGGTTGGGGACATGGATGGAGGGATGGAGACATGGATGGAAGGATGGGGACATAGATGGGGACATGGATGGAGGGGATGGGGACATGGATGGAGGGATGGGGACATGGATGGAGGGATGGAGACATGGATGGATGGGGACATGGATGGAGGGATGTAGACATGGATGGATAGATGGGGACATGGATGGAGGGATGGAGACATGGAGGGATGGGGACACAGATGGAGGGATGGAGACATGGAGGGATGGGGACACAGATGGAGGGATGGAGACATGGAGGGATGGGGACACGGATGGAGGGATGGAGACATGGATGGATGGAGACACAGATTGAGGGATGGAGACATGGATGGATGGATGGATGGAGACACAGATTGAGGGATGGAGACATGGATGGATGGAGACATGGATGGATGTAGACACAGATTGAGGGATGGAGACATGGATGGATGGAGACATGGATGGAGGAGGGATGTAGACATGGATGGAGAGATGTAGACATGGATGGATGAGACACAGATTGAGGGATGGAGACATGGATGGATGGAGACATGGATGGAGAGATGTAGACATGGATGGATGGAGGGATGTAGACATGGATGGATGGAGACACAGATTGAGGGATGGAGACATGGATGGATGGAGACACAGATGGAGGGATGTAGACATGGATGGATGGATTGATGATGGATTGATTGATGGATTGATGGATGGATGAGTTTTCTTTAAATATTACAAATGAATGAAATGTCGTTGATTTGTGGCGTTTGGATGCCTCGTAGTTCTACTTTTATTGTGTGAAATCAAAACCAGGAAAACTCCGAAATACAAAACCACAATAAATATCACCGATAACCGATCGACATGAGAACGTGCGAATATAGTGAATATCTCTGGGATTTCCATTTCCCTCTTCTGCGCTTTGTATTTGTGTTTGTTCGTTGCACGTTCTCATGTCGATCGGTTATCGGTGATATTTATTGTGGTTTTGTATTTCGGAGTTTTCCTGGTTTTGATTTCACACAATGAAGTATTATCTTGGCGTGATTCCAGAGGGATGTGCAGAGATCCCGCGTGGCGCTCGCTGAGACTTTCATTGATAATGGCTCCCAAGATACGGCGAGCTGACACTCGTTTTTACGCACATCAAAATGCGCAGCAAACGTGTGACTCTCGACGCCCCGGACAAGTAGATGACGCTACTTTGACGCAGCGAAGGGCGGCCTGTTGGAATGAATCAGCTGCCCTGTGCATGTTCCGTGTTCCTGAGACGTTCCGTGTGAACGCGGCCCCGGCGATCGTTCCGTCACATTAGGTGTCTCGTGTTCACTTTACTAGGAGAAATACTGCTACAGGGCGGCGACACGGGTGCGCAAAATCACGTACAGTTGTGTTCATAATATTAGCAGTGTGATGAAAAAAGTGAATAAAGCTGCAAATCCTTCTAATCCTTTTATTTCCATCCACACAAATGCATTGGGAACACGACACATTCTATTCCAAATCACAACATGAAGAAAAATACATCAAATTTGTGTTGTTCCTCTAAAAAAATGGAAGAAAAGTGAATATTAGACGGTTCAAAAAAAATGGCCGTGTTTGTATTCTTCTTTACAAACTCCAACATTCACTATATAAACTGAGAAATGTTTGAAGATTTTGCTTTCCTTTGAATGACTTCATGAATATTTGGTTGTAGTCGCACTGTTTCTGAGAACTGCTGTACATCTGTGTTGCATGGAGTCCCCCAACTTCTGGCCCCTGTGATCAGGTATTCCAGCCCAGGATGATTGGACCACATTCCACACTTCTTCTCTATTTCTTGGTTTGGCCTCAGAAACGGCATTTTTGATGTCACCCCACAGGTTTTCTATTGGATGAAGATCCGGGGGATGGGGCTGGCCACTCCATAACGTCCATCTTGTTGGTCTGGAACCAAGATGTTGCCCGTTTACTGGTGTGTTTGGGGTCGTTGTCTTGTTGGAACACCCATTTCAAGGCATTTCCTCTTCAGCATAAGGCAGCATGACCTCTTCAAGTATTCTGATGGATTCAAACTGATCCATGATCCCTGGTATGCGATAAATAGGCCCAACACTGTAGTATGAGAAACATCCCCATATCATGATGCTTGCACCACCATGCTTCACGGTCTTCACAGTGTACTGTGGCTTGAATTCAGTGTTTGGGGGTCGTCTGACATACTGTCTCCGCCCACTAGACCCAAAAAGAACAATCTTACTGTCATCAGTCCACAAAATGTTGTGTCATTTCTCTTTAGGCCAGTCAATGTGCTCTTTGGCAGATTGTAACCTCTTCAGCACACGTCTTTTTTTTCCAACAGTGGGACTTTGCGGGGACTTCTTGCAGATAGCTTGGCTTCACATCGGGGTCTTCTAATTGTAACAGTCCTCACAGGGAACGTCACACCTTCTTTCATCTTCCTGGAGCTGATTGTTGGCTGAGTCCTCACAGGGAACGTCACACCTTCTTTCATCTTCCTGGAGCTGATTGTTGGCTGAGTCCGCCCCATGTTGGCTATTCTTCTATCCATTCCAATGGTAGTTTTTCACTTTCTTCCGCGTCTTTCAGGTTTTGGTTGCCATTTTAAAGCATTTGCCATCATTTTAGCTGAGCAGCCGATCATTTTCTGCACTTCTTTATATGTTTTCCCCTCCAATCAACTTTTTAATCAAGGTGCGCTGTTCTTCTGAACAATGTCTGGAACGACCCATTTTCCTCAGAATTTCAGAGAGAAATGCACTGTAACCAGCATGTCCAACATTTGCTGCCTTCCTTCCTTAAATAAGGGCAATAATTGCCACCTGTTTATCAAAGAATGAATGACGTCACTAATAGAACTCCACACGGCTATTATATTGAACACGCCTCTTTCAATGAGTGATTCAATGACACAGAATCAGCAGCATGCATGTCATGACTGTCAGGTCTGTTGGATTTCTATGACTCTACTACACCTGCTAGGAAATTATCTGCCATGTAGAAATATCATTTCTACCAAAAACAGCGATTGATCCGGTTAGTGATGTCTGACGGCTATTATTTTTCAACACAACTGTATATACAGTACACATGATTTTGCATTTCCGGGTAGGGGGCGCCACCATTTGCAGCCGCAGCTGTGAATCACCGGGGTGGCACAGGTGCGCAAAATCACGTATCACGCGTGTGTACAATATATGTATATGTGTGTGTGTGTGATTTTGCATTCCTGGGGTAGGGGGCGCATGCCCCCATTCACTGCTGCGGCTGTCAATCACCGGGTCCCAGCTGATGATTACTTGCCAGCGCCCGGTGATTGCCGATGATCTCTGACGGGGGGGGGAACAAAACAGATATCTCCCCTGTTGTCAGCTCCTGCACACTGCTTTGTATGGCTCTGCATAGCAGCGTGCGTACAGTAAAACACACACAGTTAACCCTTTGATCACTCCCTCATGTTAACCCCTTCCTGCCCAGTGCCATTAGTACAATGTCAGTGCTTTTTATTAGCACTGATCACTGTATTGGTGTCACTGTGGATGTCAGTGACACCAAATCGGTCCCCCCCCCCCCCCCCAGTGTCAGAATGCCCGCCGCAGTCGTGCTATAATTTCGCTGATTGCCGCCATTACTAGTAAAAATGAAAAAAAAAAAACAATAATCCCCGTATCTATCCCGCCATTTGTAGACGCTATCACTTTCACGTCAACCAATTAATTTCCACGTATTGGATTTTTTTTTTTCAGCGAAGACACGGAGCGGGAGACATTTTTGCCGAAATTTATGACAAAATTAGATTTTTTTGTTTTTTAAATTTTACTGGATGTGTTTTTATAGCAAAAAGTCAAAAATATATTTTTTTCTCCAAATTGTCGTTTTTCATTTTTTTTATAGTGCAAAAAATAAAAACCGCAGAGGCGATCAAATACCACCGAAAGAAAGCTCTATTTGTTGGGAAAAAAGGACGTAACTTAATTTGGGCGTGGCGTTGCATGACTGCGCAATTGTCAGAATCCTCTGGAGGGGTTAAATGCATAAAATGGATATTTTGTTCCACAATGTCATTGGTCGATCGGTATCCACTAAACATTTGGTATCTTTACAGATGGCAGGTGCAGCGCAGAGTGGTCACTATTCCAAAAAGTGTCACCCCCGTCCCGAATCCTCCAGAACCTGCAGGTAACCCGGCTGGATAGGCCGCCTACTGCACCTGAGACGGGTCACTGTACACAGTGCTGTGCATCCTTCCTAATACAGAGGATCTAAACCCGAGAAGAAAGATGTCCTCTCCGCTCACCCCGTCCAGGGCCAACAATTGGGGGGTAGAGGCGGCCCCTTCTGTACCAGGCCCGGCCCCATCAGTTCAGCAGGGAGCCCAGGAGCAGAGGGGGAGTCTTTAAATACCTTTGGGCCCATGCACAGTAATCCCATGGGCTGTGGCTTCCATCGATTCAATAAAAGGTCCCTGGGCCCCAACAGTTCAGTAGCAGGGGCCAGGAACAGGGAGGGGACTACTTCAGCAGCAGGCGGAGTAATCCTTTGTTCTGCGTCTTCCACCAATTAAATTAAAGTTGCAGCCTCTTCCTGGGGGCCAGAACCTTCATCTCAGGAGGCTGTATGGGGCCCCCACGATTTCTAATGGCAGCCCTGCACCTGCCCTTAGATATGGTGGCTGCATTAGTTTTCTTCATTCAGACTTCTTTTCCTATATTTTCACCTAATGGTCCTGCCAATAACACACTTCCTGCCTTAGGGTGACAACGCTCAGTCACTGCACTGCATTTATAGAGAAGCATTGTTGTCACCTTAGGGAAGGACTACAGAACAGCTCATCTCCTATCTCTCTATTCCCTTCTCTTCTGCTCTCCTCTCTCCTTCTCCTCACTCCTCCTCTCTCTCCTCACTCCTCCTCTCTCCTTTCCTCCTCTCTCCTCTCTCCTTTCCTCCTCTCACCTTCCCTCTCCTCCTCTCACCTTCCCTCTCCTTCTCTCACCTTCCTCTCTCCTTCTCTCACCTATGTCTTCCCTCCTCTCTCCTCTTCTTCTCTCTCGCTCCTCTCTCTCCTTCTCCTCCTCTTCTCTCTCTCTTTCTCTTCTCTTCTCTTTCTCCTCTCTTCTCTCTTTCTCCTCTCTTCTCTCTTTCTCCTCTCTCCTCTCTTTCTCCTCTCTTCTCTCTTTCTCCTCTCGTTTCTCCCTCTCTAATCTTTCCTTCTCCTCTCTCTTCTCTCCTTCTCCTCTCTCTTCTCTCCCTTCTCCTCTCTCTTCTCTCCTTCTCCTCTCTCTTCTCTCCTTCTCCTCTCTCTCTCTCTCCTTCTCCTCTCTCTTCTCTCCTCCTCCTCTGTCCTTCTCTCCTCCTCCTCTCTCTTCTTCTCTCCTCCTCCTCTCTCTTCTTCTCTCCTCCCTCCTCTCTCTTCTTCTCTCCTCCTCCTCTCTCTTCTTCTCTCCTCCTCCTCTCTCTTCTTCTCTCCTCCTCCTCTCTCTTCTTCTCTCCTCCTCCTCTCTCTTCTTCTCTCCTTCTCATCTCTCTTCTTCTCTCCGTCCCCGTCTCCTCTTTTCTCCTTCTTCTCCTCTTTTCTCCTTCTTCTCCTCTTTTCTCCTTCTTCTCCCTCTTTTCTCCTTCTTCTCCTCTTTTCTCCTTCTTCTCCTCTTTTCTCCTTCTTCTCCTCTTTTCTCCTTCTTCTCCTCTTTTCTCCTTCTTCTCCTCTTTTTCTCTCTCCTTCTTCTCCTTCTCCTCTCTCTTCTTCTCTCCTCCGTCTCTTCTTTTCTCCGTCTCCTCTTTTCTCCGTCTCCCTCTTTTTCTCCTCTCTCCTATCTCTTCCCTCCTTTATCCTCTCCTTCTCCTCTCTCTTCTTCTCTCCTTCTCCTCCTATCTCTTCTTCTCTCCTTCTCCTCTTTTCTCCTTCTCCTCTTTTTTCCTTCTTCTCCTCTTTTCTCCTTCTTCTCCTCTTTTCTCCTTCTTCTCCTCTTTTCTCCTTCTTCTCCTCTTTTCTCCTTCTTCTCCTCTTTTCTCCTCCTCTTCTCCTCTTTTCTCCTTCTCCTCTCTCTCCCTCTCTCTCCCCCCTCTTCCCCCCCCTCTCTCTCTTCTCTCTCTTCTCTCTCTTCTCTCTCCTCTCTCTTCTCTCTCCTCTCCCTCTCTCTCCTCTCTCCTCTCTCTCCTCTACCTTTCTTCCCCGTCTCATCTCTCTTTTCTCTCATTTCTCTCTACCCCCCCCCCTCTCTTCTCTCTCCTCATTTATTTCTCCCCCCCCTTCTCACTCTCTCTCTCCCTCTCTCCCCCCCCTCTCTTCCCTCTCTCCCCCCTCTTTCCTCTTCTCTCTCTCCCCCTCTCTCTCTCTCTCCTCTCTCTCTCTCCTCTTCTTTCTTTCTCCTCTCTCCTTCTCCCCTTTCCTCTCCTTTCCCATTAATTCCCCCCCCCCATTCCCTTTTCTCTTTTCCTCTCTCCATAACATCTTTTAATCCTTTCCTTTCTTGCAGTTTATACTGGTGACAGGACTGCTGCATCAGGTTTCCTATTTCTGGTGGCTCCTTTCTCTTGCAGCACACAGCCTTATAGAGTAGGATGGGAAGGCACTCCCCTGCTCCTCCCCCTTTTTTCCCCAATCCTGTATAATGGTCAACCTACCCCCCTTCCCAATCATATACTGTAAAATTTTGAACCTAATCCCTCCCTCCCCCCAATCAAGGTTGAGCTTCCCCCCCCCCCCCACCCCCGACTTCTCAAATCATGTGTGATGGTGAACCTAACCCTCTTCCAATCATGTATAATGGTCAAACGACCCCTTCGTTCTCATCTTGTATAATGGCTAACCCCCCCTCCCAATCATGTAATTGGTAACCCCCCCAAATCATGTATAATGGTTGAACCCCCCAAATCATCTATAATGGCGAACCTAACCCCCCCAATCATGTATGATGGTTGAACCCTACCCCCCCTTCCAATCATGTATAGTGGTGAACATCCCCCCCAACTTTCCAAATCATATATAATGGTGGATTTAACACCCCTCCAATCATGTATAATGGTTGGCCCCCCCTCCATTGTGTATAATGGTTGTGCCCCCCCTCCATTGTGTATAATGATTGTGCCCCCCCCCCCCCCCCCAATCATGTATAATGGTTGAGCCCTACCCCCACTCCCCTTCAAATCATGTATAATGGTTGAACCCCCCAAATCATCTATAATGGCGAACCTAACCCCCCCAATCATGTATGATGGTTGAACCCTACCCCCCCTTCCAATCATGTATAGTGGTGAACATCCCCCCCAACTTTCCAAATCATATATAATGGTGGATTTAACACCCCTCCAATCATGTATAATGGTTGGCCCCCCCTCCATTGTGTATAATGGTTGTGCCCCCCCTCCATTGTGTATAATGATTGTGCCCCCCCCCCCAATCATGTATAATGGTTGAGCCCTACCCCCACTCCCCTTCAAATCATGTATAGTAGTTGAGCCTTCTCATTCAACCCCCCCAAATCATGTATAATGGTTGAGCCTTCCCCTTCTCCAGCCCCCCCCCCAATCATGTATAATGGTCAAGCCTTCCCCTTCACCAACACCCCCCCCCCCCCCCCAAATCATGTATAAATGTATAATGGTCAAGCCTTCCCCTTCACCAACACCCCCCCCCCCCCAAATCATGTATAATGGTTGAGCCTTCACTGAATTAATGGAACATTTCCTTTCTTAGGTGTTTGACTTCTGTCTGACGGAGGGGGAGATGCAGCAAATCGGCAGCCTGAACAAAGGATGCCGGTACATCATCCCGTTAATCACGGTAAATGATCCAATTCTCCGACTACATTGTTACAGAACTTGATGAAAAGAGGCTGGGGGCCCCTCGGGGGAAGGGTCACTCCCACTATATACACTAGGGCCACGTCCTAATTATGACTAGTCAGAAGAAGCAGGAACACTACAAATGGACTTTATAGGCACAAATAAATAAATAATTTGCGCTAGTAAATGTGTATAAAAAGAAATCATCAAATCATAAGTCCAGAAAAAAATATATATATGCCAATACCACAAAAAAAATAAAAAAACTTTTAAGTGCAAAAAACTTTTGTGCAAAAAAAGTGTCTAAATATGAAAATTTTTCACCAAAAAACCTTGATAATATAATGGCAGATCATCCATAAATATATCTTCAGAAACGGAAACTCTGCAACACACCGATCCTCATCGATCGAAATAACAGGATGAAAAACTTTGTAGTTAATCGAAAATCCACTTCTCCAATAGATAAAGGACCACCTTCAAACGTATCCATGGGGGGAAATGCCAAGCACTCGAGAGAAACAGACTTCATGGTGCAATATTATAAAAACCAATTCCTTTATTAGGTACTCATTGCACTTACTCAAGAGGTGTCCCAGCCGACACCAGCATCAACAGCATAACAGCAATCACATAAACGAGCCTGGCTACTCAGCACATGCGCAGTAGCTGGCAGCCAAAAACGTAATGACGTCACATCAATCAAGCTCCGCCCTACGCGTTTCGTCATCGACGTCCTCTTATTTATAGGCACAAAGACTAGATACACGAATTCGTAAAATCAATGTGACATTAAGTCACATATAGACCATAACATTAGAAAACTTGTTTAGTAATTTCCCCGCAACGAATGTCCCAAAGCCCACCTTGTACAGAAGGAGCACAACCAGTGATGAGGCATGGAAAAGACCACCAGGATGATCCCATGGTGGGGGGGGGGGGGGGTGAGGACATTCTGGCGCTGGAGAGTTTGCCCGACATGTTTCAGGACAGCAGCTGCTTCCTCAGGGGCTATTTTGATATCTAAAAGAGATACTTAGACTTGGATAACACAACAGAAAATCATACAGACATGATAAAAAGCTCCTAAAGCACGTAATACACTTACATAGCATCTCATTATGCACCAGTCAGTCATGAGCCCTCCGGTCAGGGAGAGCGGGCCTCTTCTGGGTACCCAATGGGGCAAAAACCATCCAGGAGGCCAGGCGTGGGGGGCGCAAAAAAGGACAAAGCAGGCCAGCACCCAAAAGTACCTTAAAAGGCTCAATTCTGCATACGAAGTAATAGTAGGGAGCCGAAAAGAACTGAAGTATTAATACCATTTTATCTACGATGATATTTTGAGTCTAAAAAATGTGCAAAGAGTAAAAAAAATGTGACAAATTACAAAAAAACTTGCCATGCCTCTTACTATATACCCCAGACCAGGGGTAGGCAACCTGAGAGCCGCAGGACTACAAGTTCCATCATGCCTCTGCAAGTCATAGCTGTAACTGTCAGTTTTGTAATCTTTGCAATGCCTTATGGGAAATGTAGTTCCACAACAGCTAGAGAGCCGCAGGTTGCCTACCCCTGGCCCAGACTGTCTACTTTCCAAAAAGGGGTCATTTGGGTTGGATTTGTACTGTCCTGACATTTGGGTTGGATTTGTACTGTCCTGACATTTGGGTTGGATTTGTACTGTCCTGACATTTGGGGGGGATTTGTACTGTCCTGACATTTGGGTTGGATTTGCACTGTCCTGACATTTGGGGGGATTTGTACTGTCCTGACATTTGGGGGGGGGGGATTAGTACTGTCCTGACATTTGGGGGGGGGGGGGGGATTTGTACTGTCCTGACATTTTGGGGGATTTGTACCGTCCTGACATTTGGGGGGGTTAGTACCGTCCTGACATTTGAGGGGGATTTGTACCGTCCTGACATTTGGGGGGATTTGTACCGTCCTGACATTTGAGGGGGATTTGTACCGTCCTGACATTTGGGGGAGATTTGTACCGTCCTGACATTTGGGGAGATTTGTACCGTCCTGACATTTGGGGGAGATTTGTACCGTCCTGACATTTGAGGGGGATTTGTACCGTCCTGACATTTGGGGGAGATTTGTACCGTCCTGACATTTGGGGGAGATTTGTACCGTCCTGACATTTGGGGGAGATTTGTACCGTCTCCTGACATTAGGGGAGATTTGTACCGTCCTGACATTTGGGGGAGATTTGTACCGTCCTGACATTGGGGGGGATTTGTACTGTCCAGACATCAGTGCCTGACCTGACAAATGTGCTTCTGGAAGAATGGTCCAACCTTCCCATAGACACCCTCCTAAACCTTGTGGGCGGCCTTCCCAGAAGAGTTGAAGCTGTTATAGCTGCAAAGGGCGGGGCCAACTCAATATTGAACCCTACGGACTAAGACTGGGGGGGTCATTAAAGGTCATGTGCGAGGAAAGGCCGGCGGCCCAATTCTTGGGGCAATATAGTGTATATCCTGTAATTTGTAACTTTAATACAGACTAAATAGTAAACACTGATTTGGGTGATTTTCACCAAAGAAATGGAGCCGAATACATTTTGGCTGAAACTCATGAAGAATTATTTATTTGAAACATTTTGTTTAGTTAGCAAAAAATAACCCCCCCCCCCCCCCCCCCCCCCCCCCGTGATGAGTAAATACCACCAAAAGAAATCTCTATTTGTTAGAAAAAAAAGATAAAATCTTCATAAGGGTCCAGTGTTGCATGACCGCGCAATTGTCATTCATAGTGTTAGAGCGCTGAAAGCTGAACATTGGCCGGGGCAGGGGGGGGGGGTGCCCGGTATTGAAGAACATAATCAGTGATGATGAAAACTGGATTTTTGGACTCACTTTAACACACTTTGGATTCATAGAGAGGCACAGCTAGGTGATAACTGAGCACCCCCCAGGGTTATACTGCCACCTACAGGACGGTCCGACCTTTCTCCTGCCGGTGGCAGCATCACCCGGGATGGTTTATTATCTGTACAATTATGAGATGATATCAGAATGTCGGGACGTCCCTCTGATTGTCTGTTCTGTCTTTTCTAGGTGGATGGAAAGTCCGTTCCGAGAGACGCGTCTCACCCCATGTACCCGTTCAACGATAGCTACTGATCATAGCTGGGTGGATGGAGCCCCCCCCATGGATGGAGCCCCCCCGCCGTGCCTTCCACACTCCCGCTGTGTTCCCAGAAGCCTTTGCTGATTCTGTATTTCACTTTGTGCCTATTACAGCTTTGTATTCTCCCCGGGTCCTCCGGACGGTGCAATAAATAGAACATCTTTGTAGACAGACTTGTGTCTTTATTGCTGTTACAGATCGAATAATATCTGAGCCGCCCCCCCTCCCCCCCTTCGCTGCCGGGGTCAACATAAAAGGAATACCCATAGACCCCGAATGGTATTTTTATATAAGTAACTCAGGGCTCTATTTATGGAGAATTCATTGCATGGATGTCAGAAGTTGTACCAGCTGAACAGAACGTCACCGTAATTCGTGTAAGAGATGAATGCAGGGATCAGCAGCCCCGTCTAGTGGCCAACATGCCGTATAGCTTTCTAAAATACCTCAATAGGAAGACAGTACCGCATGTCGGCCACTAGACGGAGCTGGTGATCCCGGCATTCATCTCACACAGAGTAATGACCGAAAACCTTTCCTTATAATGCCAGATGGAAGCCGAAATCAGGCTGCTTATGGGAGTGGCTACTCTGTATACTACGAGTGGCAGGGGGAGGTACCTAGGTGGGCTTAGGGCGACTGATAGAGGGGTACAGGCTTGGCCCCATTGGTTCCGAAATCCTACCGCCCTCACGCCACCACCCCCATTCTTGACTGGCAGTTCTTTACCAAGTGCAACATGGCCAAGGATGGAGAGTGAAGAGTTGCAGCACATGACCACCATACTGCTAACCTCCATCCTCCCCTTCGGTCTTGCACAGGTGTATAGGCTCCTCCCCTTCAGTCTTGCACAGGTGTACCGGCTCCTCCCCTTCAGTCTTGCACAGGTGTACCGGCTCCTCCCCTTCAGTCTTGCACAGGTGTACCTGCTCCTCCCCTTCAGTCTTGCACAGGTGTACTGGCTCCTCCCCTTCAGTCTTGCACAGGTGTTCCGGCTCCTCCCCCTCATTCTTGCACAGGTGTACAGGCTCCTCCCCCTCAGTCTTGCACAGGTATTCCTGCTCCTCCCCTCCAGTCTTACACAGGTGTACCGGCTCCTCTCCTTCAGTCTTGCACAGGTGTACCGGCTCCTCCCCTTCAGTCTTGCACAGGTGTACCGGCTCCTCCCCTTCAGTCTTGCACAGGTGTACCGGCTCCTCCCCTCCAGTCTTGCACAGGTGTACCAGCTCCTCCCCCTCATTCTTGCACAGGTGTACCGGCTCCTCCCCCTCAGTCTTTACTTCCTGGAATCCATCTACCTGAATCAGAAAGTAACTGAAGAAATCTATTTTTTAAAAAAGTATAATATGTGATATACCTTCCTATTTACTAATGCTATCAACATAAAAATAGTCCATGTAGATGGAGAGAGTGAATTTCTACTTTAATCTCTCGCCACCCATGTAACACCTACACTGTATTGCCTCAAGTATTGGGCGGCTGCCCTTCCCACACACATGACCTTTAATGGCCCCCCCCAGTTTTAGTCCGTAGGGTTCAATATTGAGTTGGCCCCGCCCTTCCCACACACATGACCTTTAATGGCCTCCCAGTTTTAGTCCGTAGGGTTCAATATTGAGTTGGCCCCGCCCTTCCCACACACATGACCTTTAATGGCCTCCCAGTTTTAGTCTGTAGGGTTCAATATTGAGTTGGCCCCGCCCTTTGCAGCTATAACAGCTTCAACTCTTCTGGGAAGGCCCCCCACAAGGTTTAGAAGGGTGTCTATGGGAAGGTTGGACCATTCTTCCAGAAGCACATTTGTCAGGTCAGGCACTGATGTCGGGGGAGGAGGCCTGGCTCGCAGTCTCCGCTCTAATTCATCCCAAAGGTGTTCTATGGGGTTGAGGTCAGGACTCTGTGCAGGACAGTCAAGTTCCTCCACCCCAAACTGGCTCCTCCATGTCTTTATGGACCTTGCTTTGTGCACTGGTGCGCAATCGGATTGCCAGACAGAGAAGCGTGATTGGTCACTCCAGAGAACACGTCTCCACTGCTCTAGAATCCAGTGTGGCGGCGTGCTTTACACCACGGCATCCGATGCTTTGCATTGCACTTGGTGATGGAAGGCTTGGATGCAGCTGCTCGGCCATGGAAACCCATTCCATGAAGCTCTCTACGCACTGTTGTTGGGCTCATCTGAAGGCCACACCAAGTTTGGAGGTCTTTAGCTATTGACTCTGCAGACAGTTGGCGACTTCTGCGTACTGTGCGCTTCAGCATGCGCTGACCCCGCCCTGTCATGTGACGTGGTCTACCACTTAGTGGCTGATTGGCTGTTGCTTCCACTTTGTTATAATCCCACTATTAGTTGAGCGTGGAATATTTAGTAGCCAGGAAATGTCACGGATGGACTTATTGCCCAGGTGGCCACCTATCACGGGACCACGCTTGGAGTCACTGAGCTCCTGAGAGCGACCCATTCTTTCACCGATGTTTGTAGAAGCCGTCTGCATGCCTAGGGGCTTGATTGTATACACCTGTGTCCATGGAGGGGATTGGAACACCTGAATCACATGATATGGAGGGGATTGGAACACCTGAATCACATGATATGGAGGGGATTGGAACACCTGAATCACATGATATGGAGGGGATTGAAACACCTGAATCACATGATTGGAGGGGATTGGAACACCTGAATCACATGATTGAGAGGGGATTGGAACACCTGAATCACATGATTGGGAGGAGATTGGAACACCTGAATCACATGATTGGAGGGGATTGGAACACCTGAATCACATGATATGGAGGGGATTGGAACACCTGAATCACATGATATGAAGGGGATTGGAACACCTGAATCACATGATTGGAAGGGATTGGAACACCTGAATCACATGATATGGAGGGGATTGGAACACCTGAATCACATGATATGGAGTGGATTGGAACACCTGAATCACATGATTGGAGGGGATTGGAACACCTGAATCACATGATATGGAGGGGATTGGAACACCTGAATCACATGATATGGAGGGGATTGGAACACATGAATCACATGATTGGGAGGGGATTGGAGCACCTGAATCACATGATATGGAGGGGATTGGAACACATGAATCACATGATTGGAGGGGATTGGAACACCTGAATCACATGATATGGAGGGGATTGGAACACCTGAATCACATGATTGGGAGGGTTGGCCCAATACTTCGGGGAATATAGTATATGTGTTGTGGCGGGCGGGTTTTGTGGCCACAGATGTGTCAATGGGCAGTGACAGAGAATGAGCCGTCAAAGACAACTCTCTGTCCCCACTAGCGATCGGTAGCTGGTGGCACCAACTGTGACAGCCAATCATAGTGGTCACATGTTCACTGGTCCATCCCAGCCCCCGACAGAACATTTTAAGGGGATGCCAGGGTGTGCAGGAAGAGGTTAACAAACTGCCATCTGTGGTAAACAGGTAAGTGAAGTTGTTGGGGCACCAAAATGCTGAGATCTGGAAGAAGATATTCCAGTTTGATGAAACATCTATAGATGGAGCCAATGCGCTCCAGGTGTCTGCGCTCCCTTCTTCAGGGCTCATGGACAGAATCCGGCAGCCTGCTGAATGGATGTCGCTGTGTTTGTAGGTGTTGCTGGATCCCTCTGGGTGACGCCGCGTCTATAACCGCCACCATAGATCTGTACTGAGACCTTCAACCTGAAAACTGTCTCCTGTAATAAAATACTTTTTAGCCAAACTCTCTGTTTTTGTGTCTGGACCCTAAAAGTCCCATTTGTTTGCATATATCTTTTTTATAATATCCACTTCGGCTCCAGAGTTCAGCGTGTGAGCCGGTGTACCGGGAGGTGCAGGTGCAGGCATCATACCTGAACCGTTTATTGGAGCCGACAGTTGGCTCTCTTCTTCACCACAAGATGTCCTCCGTCTTCTGGGTGTCATTCAGCCTGGGAGACTGAGGATACGCTGTGAGTACAGGACCTCATCGGCCCATAGGGGGCACCACCATGGCTCCGTGTTCCCATTCTCTTCTTCACCACAAGATGTCATTCATCTTCTGGGTGTCATTCAGCCTGGAAGACTGAGAATACGCTGTGAGTACAGGACCTCATCGGCCCATAGGGGGCACCACCACGGCTCCGTGTTCCCATACTCTTCTTCACCACAAGATGTCCTCCGTCTTCTGGGTGTCATTCAGCCTGGAAGACTGAGGATGCACTGTGAGTACAGGACTTCATCGGCCCATAGGGGGCACCACCATGGCTCCGTGTTCCCATACTCTTCACCACAAGATGTCCTCCGTCTTGTGGGTGTCATTCAGCCTGGAAAACTGAGGATGCACTGTGAGTACAGGACTTCATCGGCCCATAGGGGGCACCACCACGGCTCTGTGTTCCCATTCTCTTCTTCACCACAAGATGTCATTCATCTTCTGGGTGTCATTCAGCCTGGAAGACTGAGGATGCGCTGTGAGTACAGGACTTAATTGGCCCATAGTGGGCACCACCACGGCTCCGTGTTCCCATACTCTTCTTCACCACAAGATGTCCTCCGTCTTCTGAGAGTCATTCAGCCTGGAAGACTGAGGATGTGTTGTGAGTACAGGACCTCATCGGCCCATAGGGGGCACCACCACGGCTCCGTGTTCCCATACTCTTCTTCACCACAAGATGTCCTCCGTCTTCTGGGTGTCATTCAGCCTGGCAGACTGAGGATGTGTTGTGAGAACAGGACCTCATCGGCCCATAGGAGGCACCACCACGGCTCCGTGTTCCCATACTCTTCTTCACCACAAGATGTCCTCCGTCTTCTGGGTGTCATTCAGCCTGGAAGACTGAGGATGCGCTGTGAGTACAGGACTTCATCGGCCCATAGGGGGCACCACCACGGCTCCGTGTTCCCATACTCTTCTTCACCACAAGATGTCCTCCGTCTTCTGAGAGTCATTCAGCCTGGAAGACTGAGGATGTGTTGTGCGTACAGGACTTCATCGGCCCATAGGGGGCATCACCACGGCTCCATGTGACCGCGGTGCCATGATGCAGAGAGTGATGTTGATGTCAGGCCGCTTTTGGTATCATCAAGCACCGCCCAATGCCGGGAGAAGATCAGGAGAAAACCCTGCATGTCACATGACTGAACTGAAGACATCGGGAAAAGATAAGAATAAGATACAAAATGTAACAAAAATAGATGGAGTGGGGGGGAGGGGGGTCACCTTTTTGGGAAAGCCAAGGGTTGGGATTTAGGCAGAGATGAGGGGGGTGCTGCGGCTGCACAGAGAGGTGCAGGATCTGTAGGAGTTCTGTCCTCCTCTCTGCTGTCTACAGCTGAGACAAGGTGGGGGTGGAGAGGAGGGGGGTGCTGCGGCTGCACAGAGAGATGCAGGATCTGTAGGAGGAGCTCTGTCCTCCTCTCTGCTGTCTACAGCTGAGACAAGGTGGGGGTGGAGAGGAGGGGGGTGCTGCGGCTGCACAGAGAGATGCAGGATCTGTAGGAGGAGCTCTGTCCTCCTCTCTGCTGTCTACAGCTGAGACAAGGTGGGGGTGGAGAGGAGGGGGGTGCTGCGGCTGCACAGAGAGATGCAGGATCTGTAGGAGGAGCTCTGTCCTCCTCTCTGCTGTCTACAGCTGAGACAAGGTGGGGGTGGAGGCGAGGGGGGTGCTGTGGCTGCACAGAGAGATGCAGGATCTGTAGGAGGAGCTCTGTCCTCCTCTCTGCTGTCTACAGCTGAGACAAGGTGGGGGTGGAGAGGAGGGGGGTGCTGCGGCTGCACAGAGAGATGCAGGATCTGTAGGAGGAGCTCTGTCCTCCTCTCTGCTGTCTACAGCTGAGACAAGGTGGGGGTGGAGGCGAGGGGGGTGGGGTGCTGCAGCTGCACAGAGAGATGCAGGATCTGTAGGAGTTCTGTCCTCCTCTCTGCTGTCTTCAGCTGAGATAAGGTTGGGGTGGAGACGAGGGGGGGGGTGCTGCTGCGGCTGCACAGAGAGGTGCAGGATCTGTAGGAGGCATTCTCTACTCCTCTCTGCTGCCGCACTGCGTTGATTAAGTCCTCTTTTTGTCCAGAGGCTCAGGGTAAAGCTACAGTTACCCAATCCTCCGGAACACAGCGCTCCCCCATCTCCAGCAGTGGACTGTTCCTGCTGTCCTCCCTTCCAGAGCCAGTCTATGGGCATGAAGACGTCAGGAACAGCCCATTCACAAGACCGCTACTGTGTGTGCGTGAGGGGGGGGCAGGAGCGCCGGCGAGGACCGATCTTGCGCTCGGAGGATCAGGTAAGTATATCTTTGCTTTACTAGGCCACAGGTGTCAAACTGACGGCCCTCCAGCTGTTGCCAAACTACAAGTCCCATGAGGCATTGCAGGATTGATAGTTACAGGCATGACTCCCAAAGGCATGATGGGACTTGTAGTTTCGCAGCAGCTGGAGGGCCGCCAGTTTGACACCCCTGCCCTAGGCAAAAACGATTGTTTAACCCGTGCAGTGCCGGCCCAGCCCCACTGCACGGGGAAATGGTCATTTTGCCCGGAACTCTGCTTTTAGCACCCGGTCACACAATTCGCAAAACGCACCTGAAATCGCATCTAATGAACGGTAATGTTGGCGTCTTCACGTGCGATTTGCTGCGGCGCGATTTCTGACGTAGTTCCGGCGTGGCTTTTTCTGCGGTTTTGATGCGATTTCACAGACATAGAAGAGAATGAAAACTGCAAGAAATCGCAGAAAATGTTCACATGTCGCAACAAAGTCTTCAGAAATCGCAGAGCTGTGACCGGTGACTAAAGTTCCACCCGAGCACTTAAAATCCCCCCCCACAAAAATGTTCCCCCCCACATTCATGCATGCAGGAATGTCAATGTACATGCTGGGGGGCGACTACGCATGAAAACGTAGATTGATGCACGTGTCACATATCGCCGCGCACGCCGCAGCGAGGTGACCGATTCTCCGCCCATTGTTCACAGCTATGTCTACACTGGTCCCCTGGAGAGGCGTGTCCAGCGTCAGCCTATGGAACATACAGAGTACGGACGTTTGCCGCCGTTTCACGGGTGTGCGCAAATGTTAAGGCTTGGCATGTTGGGTATCGATTTACTCGGTGTGACCTTGTCGTTTATATTTTACCCCAAAATCCTGGGTCTCTCTAGTGTGGTGACCCCCCCCAAACCTGGGGCCCTCCAGTCACCCCAAATACCAGGTCCCAATCTTCACAAGTCGCAACAAAGTCTTCAGAAATCGCACGATTTTAAATCGCAGCGGTGTGACCGGTGACTAAAGTTCCACCCGAGCACTTAAAATTCCCCCCCAAAAAAAATGTTTGATCCCCCACATTCATACATGTCTATGCGCGTGCTGGGGGGCGACTACGCATGAAAACGTAGATTGATGCACGTGTCACATATCGCCGCGCACGCCGCAGCGAGGTGACCGATTCTCCGCCCATTGTTCACAGCTATCTCTAGACTGATCCCCTGGAGGGGCGTGTCCAGCGTCAGCCAATGGAACACATGGGGTACGGACGTTTGTCGCCATTTCACGGGTGTGCACAAATGTTAAGGCTTGGCATGTTGGGTATCGATTTACTCGGTGTGACCTTGTCGTTTATATTTTACCCCAAAATCCTGGGTCTCTCCAGTGTGGTGACCCCCCCCCCCCAAGCCTGGGGCCCTCCAGTCACCCCAAATACCAGTTCCCAATCTTCACAAGTCGCAACAAAGTCTTCAGAAATCGCACGATTTTAAATTGCAGTGGTGTGAACCAGGGGCAGACTGACAACTCATGGGGCCCCCGAGCAATAGGGGATCATGGGGCCCCTGTGTCCTCACCCACACTCAAACTACACCCAAAAAAGGCTATGAAAGGTACCAGGGGCATCTCATGGGGCCCCCTACTGACCCTGGGCCCTCAGGCAGTGCCCAAGTGCCTGAACGGTCAGTTCGTCCCTGGTGTGAACGGTGATTAAAGTTCCACCCAAGCACTTACAATCCCCCCCCAAAAAAAGTTTGCCCCCCCCACATTCATACATGTCAATGCAGATGTTGGGGGCGACTACGCATGCATGAAAACGTAGATTGATGCACGTGTCACATATCGCCGCGCACACGCCACAGCGCGAGGTGACCGATTCTCCGCCCATTGTTCACAGCTATCTCTAGACTGATCCCCTGGAGGGGCGTGTCCAGCGTCAGCCTATGGAACATATGGGGTACGGATGTTTGTCGCCA